GGGGGGGGGGGGCGGGGGCGTGTTTAGGGTGATGAATTTACCTTTAAAAATTGACTGCAATTAAGAGGTTTCTGCTAATTTTCGCCTTAGGAATATTTTTATTTATTTATTTCTTCTTCGTATTTAGTGATACAGTTATAGTTATTCGTAGTTATATATTTAGTGATATATCCATTTATCATGTTATGTATTGTGCTAAATATTAAGTTCGCGTGCTAATTAATTTAATGTACTTGCAGAATTCCAATGGACGACGCGAGGGCCTCGCCTGCCGTGGCCCCACGCGAAGAGGCCCTACAGTTCCTGACGCAGGCCTACGCGAAGGCCCACCCCACCATGCTGCAGGTGAGGCCATCCCACCATGCTGCAGGTGAGGCCACCCCACCATGCTGCAGGTGAGGCCACCCCACCATGCTGCAGGTGAGGCCNAGTATCATATCATGGCATGAAGGTTTCAGTATCATGTTAATGGCATGAAGTATCATATCATGGCATGAAGGTTTCAGTATCATGTTAATGGCATGAAGTATCATATCATGGCATGAAGGTTTCAGTATCATGTTAATGGCATGAAGTATCATATCATGGCATGAAGGTTTCAGTATCATGTTAATGGCATGAAGTATCATATCATGGCATGAAGGTTTCAGTATCATGTTAATGGCATGAAGTATCATATCATGGCATGAAGGTTTCAGTATCATGTTAATGGCATGAAGTATCATATCATGGCATGAAGGTTTCAGTATCATGTTAATGGCATGAAGTATCATATCATGGCATGAAGGTTTCAGTATCATGTTAATGGCATGAAGTATCATATCATGGCATGAAGGTTTCAGTATCATGTTAATGGCATGAAGTATCATATCATGGCATGAAGGTTTCAGTATCATGTTAATGGCATGAAGTATCATATCATGGCATGAAGGTTTCAGTATCATGTTAATGGCATGAAGTATCATATCATGGCATGAAGGTTTCAGTATCATGTTAATGGCATGAAGTATCATATCATGGCATGAAGGTTTCAGTATCATGTTAATGGCATGAAGTATCATATCATGGCATGAAGGTTTCAGTATCATGTTAATGGCATGAAGTATCATATCATGGCATGAAGGTTTCAGTATCATGTTAATGGCATGAAGTATCATATCATGGCATGAAGGTTTCAGTATCATGTTAATGGCATGAAGTATCATATCATGGCATGAAGGTTTCAGTATCATGTTAATGGCATGAAGTATCATATCATGGCATGAAGGTTTCAGTATCATGTTAATGGCATGAAGTATCATATCATGGCATGAAGGTTTCAGTATCATGTTAATGGCATGAAGTATCATATCATGGCATGAAGGTTTCAGTATCATGTTAATGGCATGAAGTATCATATCATGGCATGAAGGTTTCAGTATCATGTTAATGGCATGAAGTATCATATCATGGCATGAAGGTTTCAGTATCATGTTAATGGCATGAAGTATCATATCATGGCATGAAGGTTTCAGTATCATGTTAATGGCATGAAGTATCATATCATGGCATGAAGGTTTCAGTATCATGTTAATGGCATGAAGTATCATATCATGGCATGAAGGTTTCAGTATCATGTTAATGGCATGAAGTATCATATCATGGCATGAAGGTTTCAGTATCATGTTAATGGCATGAAGTATCATATCATGGCATGAAGGTTTCAGTATCATGTTAATGGCATGAAGTATCATATCATGGCATGAAGGTTTCAGTATCATGTTAATGGCATGAAGTATCATATCATGGCATGAAGGTTTCAGTATCGTGTTAATGGCATGAAGTATCATATCATGGCATGAAGGTTTCAGTATCGTGTTAATGGCATGAAGTATCATATCATGGCATGAAGGTTTCAGTATCGTGTTAATGGCATGAAGTATCATATCATGGCATGAAGGTTTCAGTATTAACATTTCATAGAGCCTAGCATCAACATAGCATTAATTTACCAATAAAATGGCATAGAGCGTGCAGCATTAACATATAATTCATGAGTTCAGTATTAACATATCATTCAAGGTTGCAGTATTACCATATCGTTCAAGTGTTATCATTAAAACATGATGTGTGCAGAAGGAGAACCCATGCCACGTGTTCACGCGCAACGCGCCGTCAGGAGTGATACACGGCAGCGCCCTGGGGGTCTACACGCACTCCCTGCTCGACTACGCCTCTAGTGTCGGCATACCGGCGGTGGGTGGTGTGGTGGTGGTGGTGTTGTGGTGTACACGCACTCCCTGCTCGACTACGCCTCTAGTGTCGGCATCCCGGCGGTAGGTGGTGTGGTGGTGTGATGGTGTGGTGGTGTTGTGGTGTGACTGGTGGTGTTACGGTGTGCCTGGTGGTGTTACGGTGTGCCTGGTGGTGTTATGGTGTGCCTGGTGGTGTTGCGGTGTGACTGGTGATGTTACGGTGTGCCTGGAGGTGTTACGGTGTTACTGGTGGTGCTGTGGTGTGACTGGTGGTGTTACTGTAAAGGGTATGATCATCGGTTCCGTTTTTCTTGTTCTGAACGTCCGCCAGGTCCACCCAATCTATTGCCCGCTTACTGTAGTTATCCTCGCTATGTTATCACCAATCGGAAGATTAGCATTCATGTTCAGTCCAGGGTCGCCAACAAATTACTTTTTCAAAATTTTTGTGCCGTTCGACAATAGGTAGCGGTGTTCCATCTCGAATTTTCTTGACTGGATATCAGAAAATTAAACTAGTTGTCTTGATTTGAATATAATTTAGTTAGGCAAAGTTAAATACTACGGAAAGGTCAACCTCTCGATATCCCTCCTCTCTGTAATCCTCCATGAATGTTGATGTTGAGGCGTGGCCTAATACTGCGTCATGTCGGCGATGAGGAAGAGGATAGGACCAAATACCGTTCGTTGTGGTACTCCGCTGTTGTGGTACACTAGTACCTTGTGGTACTCCGCTGTTGTGGTACACTAGTACCTTGTGGTACTCCGCTGTTGTGGTACACTAGTACCTTGTGGTACTCCGCTGTTCCATCTTGCCTCACTTGATCTCGCGTCTCCAGCAAATATAGCTTGTGGTTTGTCGGTTGGGAAGTTGTGTATCAACAACCATTGCTATGTTTGAAACACCCAAGCATACCAAGGACTTGTGGTTGTGTTACGGAATGGCTGCTGGTGCCTGTTACAGTAAGTGAACGTTAATTTTGTTCGAGCGAGTGTGCGACTGCACAAGATTGTACGACTTCAAGTTATAGTGTCACTGGCGTAAGTTTTGTATCTGTATTGGTAGTTTTACACATTTATAAGCATAACTTCTTTCGACGCTGACCTATTCCATGCTGCATGCTCTAAAACACGGTGATGTATGGTGTATTTCAATGCAGAATTAAGGGATAGGAAATAGCGATGTTGATCGTGTTTTATAGACATGTAATCAACATGTACAGTCCGTGAGACGAGAGAATATTTGAAATGGTTCATCGATGTCGCTCATCAGGGACGAGGGTCGGAAAACGATGAATTTCACTTATATCTATGCGGATCATTTCATACAACAAAGAAAAAAACGTGTTATTAGGTTTAAAAGAGGTAACTACCATCTCACAACTACAACGCTACAATACTTTTATAATTTTTCACATCAAGATGTATGATTTATACTTGCCTGTTACTGATAGATTGTAAAAAGGCTTTATTACGGGGCAGGTGGCGGCTCACGTGTCGTGTTGCAACTACCCCGACCCTGGGGACCTGCCGAGGCTGTGGCGCGAGAACCTGCCTCCTCTGCTGGGGTTCCTTGAGGCCGCGCGGCAAGGTAATCCCCAGAACAATGTTGCCCCTTCTTCCCCTTCCTTTAATGGGGCTGGGGTTCCTTCCCTCCCGAAGCAACCTACCCACAACAGCATTCCTCTCACCGACATCCTCATCCTTGCTAATGCTGGGGGAAGCGCTGGACCTGGGAACAAAAAAGATGGCGAGGATAATCCAAACGGAGCGAACGAAAATATCGGTTTCCCGAGCCCCGGGAGCGACCACACTCCGTTGCAACCAGTAACACCTCCGCCTAGTGGTGACAACGGTGGTGGTGTTCCTAGTAACCAGGGTAACGCTAGTGCTGGGGCCCAGGGTAATCATGACTTGTTCCCACCTGGTACTCCTGCTGGGGCCGCCGCCTCTCCTCCACCACAGGAGTTCAGACCCCGGCGCCCCGCTGGTACGGCGATCTCTTTCGCCGGCAGTGAATCGCGCGTTCGTCCGGTCTTCGTAAGACCGCCCGTTACACATGCCGGCTGAACATGGACGCTTCTTTTTACACATCCCTTTTGAAAATTCTCCTACTTTACTGCCCCTGTTGAATTCTCTTCCTTTTTTACCGCCCGTTTTAACGCTAATTAATATCATTTTAATGCACGTTTTCCTTCTTAAGCATCTGAGTTTCAAGATATGTCCCTGTAATTTTTTTATATTGTATTTTTCCTCACTTTTCTCCAGCCAACGTCAATGGCTCACGTCCTAACGTTGTTTGTTTCTAATCTGTGTTGTATTACCGGCCAGTTAGCAACTTCTTACTATCACAGTTTATCGCTTTGGGGCATGTTTGTACAACCTCGGTTACGCGGCAAATAGCATGTTTTTGCTATCCCAATGTTGCTCTTATTTGCATGTTTTTGCGGACCAGTTTTCATTTAGTTAAATTTTTTTTCGTTCTAGTTTCGCATGCTACTGCAATCGGCCATATTTTCAGATTTTGAAGTAATGCAAAAATCTGCTTTTAACTTCTGACGCATTCATGCTTCTTTTTTGACTTTGACTCGCTTCCTCCTAAGCGATATATTTTTTACTCTTTTTATTGGAAGCAAATTTTATCGAATTGTACTTAATTTACAATTTTTGCATACCAAAGTTTTATAATATTCTGATCTGAACAATATTCATTATTTTCTTATATTACATAGAGCTTACGACGTTATTCATTTATTATTGCAGTTATTTCTTTCTACTACTAGAAAAATAATTGAGACGTTGTGCAAATAAGGACGCTCTTTTTGCTTAATGTGAGTCACCCACTCTTAGTTTGACAGAGCAAGAGAGCTGTGCTGCGACCGCTGCTCGCGGCGCACCGGGTAAAAAAGGGTGTCACTATCAAGACAATATGTCCATTTATTTTTCTCAGTGACATATTCCATATTTTTGAGACGTTTTGTTTGTAGACACTCGGAGAAATAAGTGAGATGTCCTAATAACGATGAAATTTTTGACATATTTGTATCATCCTGACCTAGTTTGGCCCGACAAAAGTATGTACGTAGAAAGTGCGTTAGCATTTGCACAAAATTACGCATTTATTTTATCAGATTTTTAGCGCTTAAATGTATTAGTTCATGACTAACTCTCGTTAACACTAACACTGGGAACGTAGTTAGAGGTTGTGCATTTAATACTCGTATAGTTATAATGTTTATATTAATATAGTTTTAAGCTGCTGCTAATGCTGTGCACTTAGTAACCTTGCATCGCACCGTCTTGCAGATGGATCTAACCATTCATGTTAGTCTCGAGAGGTTCTGTGTGTCACAATCTGTGTTAATTCAGGTTTTATTTGTTGCACTTTGAATAGTTTTTCATTTGATGGTCGAGTCGTGAATGCAAGATATCATACGTGGCCGCGCTTCTCCACTGCAATCTTCCTAAAATATCGTGCAGTCAGCGAGGGGAAGCTGTCTTGAATAATTCGTTCAGATTGAGAATATCACATCCTGGTACCGCTGCACTCGCAAATATTGTTGATTCCGAGGCTCTTTCAGTTTGTGCGTCTCAATACTCGTTTGTCCATTTCAATACTCGAACGTAAATCTGAATACTCGTTTGTCCATTTCAATACTCGTATGTCCATTTCAATACTCGTTTTTTTGTATCTGCATACTCGATTGTCCAATTTAATACTCGCTTGTCCGTCTCAATGCTATTCTGTTCATCACAATAGCCGTATATAAATCCTCATACTCGCATGTCCATCGCAACACTCGTTATTCTGGTGACAGTTCGCGTTCCTATCGTTGCTCTCTTCATGTCTTATTCTCTATGTTTTGCTCACCTTCATTGAGCTTTTTTTTTTATTTTATCCTGAATTATGTTGTGCATGACTTCTCGCTTCCTAACAACTCCTTGTATAAGCTACTTTAATTAACAGTAACATTATAATACTTGGAGTATGAAAATCAGTAACGTAAAGTATTAATAACCGTGACGTAAAGTATTAATTAGATTTAAAATATTAAAGTATGTAGTACAAAGTGTTGATGTCCCTAAAAAATATAGACATGATTTAATTTCGCATATTCTGACCTAAAACTCGTAGTCGTTTGTTGATAACAATTTATTATTGTTCAATGTGATGAATTTGTTGTGCTGAGGTTCCCATTATTCACTGCAGAATGAATGCGTGTGACTTTATAAGGAACCATTTCAAAAGTTTAGTTTAATTAATCATTAATTAAGTAATCATTAATTAATTAATCATTAATTAATTAATCATTAATTAATTAATTAATCGATAATTAATTAATCATTAACTTACCTTTTTACAATCAGAAAAGTAAGTGAGATCTTGTCCAAATAACCATGCGCTTTTTTGCAAGTGTGTGGGTCACCTAAACTAAACTTGTTTACCTAAACTTCTATTCAATAACAGGACACCATTAATCACGTTTAATATTTGGTTCATTTAAACTCAGAATTGCAGTTTAGTTGCAAATTATTACATAAGTTTAAGCATTATTCATGTTATAAACCTTGGGCTGATCTTAACATTTGTGTTACGAATTCCTGACACAATAACGTATACGTCGGAGCTAGCGACACTTATGAGTTCTTTGACCCGCTTTTCTTTTTGTGTGTTCTCCAGCGAGCTTATATAGCTCGCTGTGTGTATAGTGTGTGTTTCTTGTGGTGATATTGTGTTATAGTGTGTTTCTTGTGGTGATATTGTGTTATAGTGTGTTTCTTGTGGTGATATTGTGTTATAGTGTGTCTTATACACATCTAGATGTGTATAAGAGACAGCTATAACACAATATCACCACACGAAACACACTATAACACAATATCACCACACGAAACACACTATAACACAATATCACCACTGTCTCTTATACACATCTAGATGTGTATAAGAGACAGATATTGTGTTATAGTGTGTTTCGTGTGGTGATATTGTGTTATAGTGGTGTGTTGATATTGTGTTATAGTGTGTTTCTTGTGGTGATATTGTGTTATAGTGTGTTTCTTGTGGTGATATTGTGTTATAGTGTGTTTCTTGTGGTGATATCTGAGCTTGTAATTGTCCACTCGAATTGTCTAATTGATATTATATGAATCTTTAAAGGAACTCGTGTACTCTGAAACCTACAAATAGATTTATGTAAAGTCTATTCATAGAATTGTTATCAACTTAGGTTTAATTTTTAACGAACGGGCATTTATATTTTTCTCAACCACTTGTTCGATGAATTATAATACCGCGAATTTTTAGGTGATTTGCGACGAGGCGTAAAATGCATAGGAAAAAAAGCGTATACACTCGGAGAATCTAGTGACACTTTGTGCAAATAATGATGCGCTTCTCGTTCTTGTGACCCATTTGGCCCGGCAGATGGGCGTATCAGTGCTGAGATCAGCTCTCTGCTCGTTCCGTGAGTAAAAAAAAGTGTCACCATCCGGACAATAGAGCCATTCATTTCAGTGAGTGTAACGTGTAAGACGCTCAAGAAGGCGCTGAAGCGACACTCGAAATGTTACAGTATCGTTTATGCAGATCTTTGCTTAATATGTCACTGTATTAATAGCAGAGTGAAGTTATATCTGCCCAATATATTGATTATTTATCAAATCTTCATCATACCATCGTGCCTTCGAAGCTGGAATTATGTTTAATAACAACTAACATTTGTTCGTCGTTCGGTGGTGAGTTTGAATTGTTAGGTGCGGTTGCTTGTCTTTTATGGCAATTCATTTACGATGTTCATCTTCTACAATACTTTAATTTCGCCTGAAATTAAATTGAAACATTTATCTATATATGCACAAATTGTTCCAGAAGACCTAGGGCATTTTTGTGACGCATTTTACTAATTTTTTGAAGAGATTACTTGTAAGATTTTGAATCGTATTATATTAATGTAATTGATATTAGAGCACCTCGCTCGTGTGGAAGTATCCGAATGTTTGTGCTGTACCTAATGTTACTAGACTTTCCTGGTAGGTATCTCCATGACGTTTACTTTGTCCTTTCAACTGTTTATGTGGCTCTAAATTTTATGACATTTTTAATTTATGACTTTTTATATTTTTTATGACTTTTATCACGGCACTGCACCTGGGCGTTTGTTGTACAAGCTTATTATATTTCTATATGTTTTGATCAAATTACGTTTGTAGAACTGGTCTCTTTGGATATAACCAACGAAAAAGGTTTAAAAATATCATTCGGTTGGTCGCTGCCAAACAATGCATAAATGATATCTGTTTAATGTGGGCTACAAGTGGAATGGTATAGCAAAAACCAGACCGCACTGTCTATAGGGATTGTTATTTTCTTCTGATGATTGTTTATTTTTATGTTTCTCATTAAATGTAGTGCACGTCTCATAGAAATATATCCGTGTTTATTTTAATTTAATGAAAAAGATTTTACTATCAGTAATACATTGATTCTCAGCCACTATTGAACGTCGCGGGGGACAAAAAACTCATTAATAAAGTGTTTTTGTTCTCGCTTCTAAACGCTGTGTTGTTTTTTTAATTGTTTTCGTGTTCATGCTTGTGTTGCTTTGCTTTAGCTTAATCTTTTGCAGTTGTCACTTGCCAGTTTGTTGCCTGTAGCTGCACTCTATCTTGAACCAAACCGCAGTGTTTAGACTTTGTTAACAAACTTGTATCACGTATCGCGTCAGTGTTTTCGTTTTCAGATGTCAAATGTCGCAATTCAAACCAAATTCTTTAAAATAAATGCTATATTGTATTCACTACGTATGGCATGTACAATCATTTGGCAATAATTTAACCAATCAAAGTCGTAATAATGGTAATTTGTCAGTATTTTGTTGATGACATTATAAAGTCGGATCCTTTGCGATTGACTGTGAAACGCAGGATAAATTTTAGGCTGCGCATTCTTGGTTGAATTTAACCGTTTCGACATTTTAATAACCTGTCCTAAAGTCAACCTCAGGTAATTAGTTCTGTATCTTATGTCAAATTAATCCACTATAAAAATTATCGAAAAAATCATCATATTGAGTGACACTATTTACATGAACCTAAAATTTTGCTCTCGTCCGAGGCTCGTGATCAAAATTTGCAACAATTGTGAGGAGTAATGTCATATTGTACGTCGGTATCAAACTGCAGTGCAATTGGAGCCATAATAAACTGTCTTGCAATAAACTGGCAAGTGCAACTTTGTATTTATTAGCCTCTTATTCTTTGTAAATATCAAGTTCTTCGTGGAAATAGCGTAACATTTGTAAATATTTATTTCGATCTGGCGCTTGAAATTCCGTCATTATCTTGGTGACTAACTTATTTAAACTAACAAATATTGTTTCCTGGGTCTTGAATGTTTAATGTTTTTGATATTATCTTAAATTTACAGAAATCCCATTGTAAAACCTTTCGTCTTAACGTACAAGGTTGGTCTTGCTAAGTTATTCGTCATGAATAATCAAAAGCCAAATTTCGTCAATTGCTGAGATGGGGAAAAAAATGTGTGGGAAAATTTTGTGTGAAAAAATTGCACTCAAATTTAAACGAGTTTTCACGTGCATGCACGCACCTGTATATATAGTGTATAGCTTGAATATTTACACGATCTAGAAAGTCGCGCTCATTTGCATGACAGGAGTGTCAGAGTGAGTAAAAAAGTACAGGTACGGTTCTACGTTCACACTTGCAACACAATTGTCTAAAATAATTAGCTACCGCCTTGTTCTAATGCTTGAACATTTTTGATTGATTGACCTGCACATTAAATCAGCAAGAATCAAAAACATTACCAATATCTGCAGTTATTTTGTAAATGTCTCTTCGTTCGCCAAAATACTGTGCGCAAGTTGACAAACCCGTCGCATTTTTTCTCACGAGATCTCACTCCTCCTCGGGACCCAGATTCATTGACACGTAATTCCAGAGTGCGGATTATTCAGAATTATTGCTTAGTTACATTAATTGACTTTCATGGAACTTCGCTAAAGTAATTTATATGTTGCGCTTGTGATGGAAATCCTTGTATTGTAACGACTTCAACTGCAAGATGGGAGCTATAAATGCCTATAGCAATCTTCTCCAGAGGCATACAGAGCACAGGCATGTACAGTCGAGACTCAAAATCAACCTCAAAGTTTTAAATTGATGATGTTTTCGTTACCAAAACGCTGATTTTATATTGACGCACTAGCTTTGTAGATTGACTGTCTCGTCATGTAACACTCTCTGGTGCATCAGTGGCTCGGTAATCAATTGCAAACACTGTAGGAAAACGGTAAAAAAATCGTCTGTTTGGCGTCCTAGTGGCCAACCTCGACTGAAACTAAACCATGTCGCCGTATTTTGCAGGTATAGGTTGAAACTTGAAAAAACACGGCTACTTTGATTTAATGGTTAACCAGAACAACGGTCCAGCCGCCCAACGGCGTTTTTTTAGTTTCTCCGCTGATAAACCGGCTTGCAGTCTCCATGGGAAATAATCAACGATATAAACTTCGAAAGTTGACTGCCTGGCCCCCGCTAGGATGTTGTTCATCGGATGCATATAATCCCAACCTGGCGAATGACGTTGAATTAACATTGATCCAACCAAACAACGTTTAATTTAACGTTAGGTTTCGGGTGTGATATTAGTTTGCCTACCTTCCAACTTAGAACTGCCTTCCAACTTAGAACTGCCTTCCAACTTAGAAATACCTTCCAACTTAGAACTGCCTTCCAACTTAGAACTGCCTTCCAACTTAGAACTGCCTTCCAACTTAGAACTNGCGTGATGCCCTCACCACCACAACCTGGTGGTGCGTGATGCCCTCACCACCACAACCTGGTGGTGCGTGATGCCCTCACCACCACAACCTGGTGGTGCGTGATGCCCTCACCACCACAACCTGGTGGTGCGTGATGCCCTCACCACCACAACCTGGTGGTGCGTGATGCCCTCACCACCACAACCTGGTGGTGCGTGATGCCCTCACCACCACAACCTGGTGGTGCGTGATGCCCTCACCACCACAACCTGGTGGTGCGTGATGCCCTCACCACCACAACCTGGTGGTGCGTGATGCCCTCACCACCACAACCTGGTGGTGCGTGATGCCCTCACCACCACAACCTGGTGGTGCGTGATGCCCTCACCACCACAACCTGGTGGTGCGTGATGCCCTCACCACCACAACCTGGTGGTGCGTGATGCCCTCACCACCACAACCTGGTGGTGCGTGATGCCCTCACCACCACAACCTGGTGGTGCGTGATGCCCTCACCACCACAACCTGGTGGTGCGTGATGCCCTCACCACCACAACCTGGTGGTGCGTGATGCCCTCACCACCACAACCTGGTGGTGCGTGATGCCCTCACCACCACAACCTGGTGGTGCGTGATGCCCTCACCACCACAACCTGGTGGTGCGTGATGCCCTCACCACCACAACCTGGTGGTGCGTGATGCCCTCACCACCACAACCTGGTGGTGCGTGATGTATGCAACTCTTGCGTGCGTATCTTCCGGCCGATACTCACGCAGATCTCCTATTAAACTGTAAAATTTGAGCAATATTACTTATTCTGAGTCTTGATTATTACTGGCGACAGGTCTGATGATGTGTTCAGGCATTTGCTTGTCATCTGCCTTTTATAAGCCTATCATCGGTCACGCCTCAATATAAATATTTAAATTAAAACCTAAACTTAAGAACTATATTTAACAAAATTATCATAACTTTTAAACTTTATCAGTAGAATATGATGCCCACAGGCCAGCGTTGCAGGATATGAAGGCAACGCGTCGCTGTCTGTGACAGTTGAGCCTCACGAGGCCACAGCAGCAAAGCTGGTCCTCATGGAGGGCCAGGCTCAGGTGCCCCACTCCGCAGGGCCAATCGCCTCAGTCAGCTCAGGCCCCACCAACGCTAGAAAATTTATAACTAATTTAGCCGACAAGTTGTCGGCGTCCAAGGCACAAAGTCTGGTGCAGAAGGAGGGTGCCCCTGATGCAGGAGGTGCCCCTGATGCAGGAGGTGCCCCTGCGTTCGCAAGTCTCGATGCAGGGGCCCTGTCTCACGAGACCTGGCGCTACCACACCTTCTACGAGATGGAGGACATCCTGAAAGATCTCGTGGACAAACACGACCACGTCGCGTCGCTGCACACGTCAGTTATTTCCTCAGTAAATTGTATTCGCTTTCCTCAGTAAATTGTATTCGCTTTCCTCAGTAAATTGTATTCGCTTTCCTCAGTAAATTCTATTCGCTTTCCTCAGTAAATTGTATTCGCTTTCCTCGGTAAATTGTATTCGCTTTCTTCAGTAAATTCTATTCGCTTTCTTCAGTAAATTGTATTCGCTTTCTTCAGTAAATTCTATTCGCTTTCTTCAGTAAATTGTATTCGCTTTCTTCACTAAATTCTATTCGCTTTCTTCAGTAAATTGTATTCGCTTTCTTCACTAAATTCTATTCGCTTTCCTCACTAAATTCTATTCGCTTTCTTCAGTAAATTCTATTCGCTTTCTTCACTAAATTGTATTCGCAGTTCGCGGCAGTTACTGATAAATTAATGCATGCTTAATAATGATGTTGCTATACTTGAGTAGGGTTTGGTGAATTAATCAATGCTTTAAATTATTACACCTACACGAGCTAGGTTTGGTATATTAGCGTACAGAAGTTGTCACGCGTACTACATAATGTTAAACTACATACGTAAATTAGTGTACAATAGTTTAAGAACTAACGCTTACTGTTAAACTACATAAGCCAATTAGTGTACAATAGCTTAAGAACTAACGCTTACTGTTAAACTACATAAGCCAATTAGTGTACAATAGCTTAAGAACTAACGCTTACTGTTAAACTACATAAGCCAATTAGTGTACAATAGCTTAAGAACTAACGCTTACTGTTAAACTACATAAGCCAATTAGTGTACAATAGCTTAAGAACTAACGCTTACTGTTAAACTACATAAGCCAATTAGTGTACAATAGCTTAAGAACTACCAACATGCAATAGTTTAGATATAAACTAACACTTACATCTCATAACAGCATCGGTCGCAGCTCCACAAGTCGCCCCATCCTGGCGCTGGAGTTGTACCTTCCCCCGGCCCCTCCCTCTGGCCACGTCACGCTCATCTCCACCAGGAGCCCTAAGGGCGTTAGCGCCCCCCATGACCCACCAAGCGTTCTCCTGCTGGGGGGCGTGAGATCTCAGGATGTCACATCCGCTGAAATTCTACTTAAACTTGCCACGTGAGTTGTGAATTTCTGATGAATATTTGGTCTGTTTTCAACTGTTTTTTGAATGTTTTTAATTTTTTAATTTAACACGTTGACTCCGAAGTGGTACATATGCGTACCACGAAGTGTATTTCTCCAGGACGTAGTGGTACATAGTAATTCAGGTTGCCTAAAATCGGCCAAATTCGAGAACAAAAAAGGCCGATAATTCAATGTATACTAGTTTATTTGAAGGTTCCGCTATAAAAATTCAATTTCTTTTCTTTTTACAGTATTTAAAATTTAATTAGGAAGTACCCCTATCATAAATTTTAGCAGACCAACGCAATTGAGAAAAACTAAATCACGGAATTTGTCCTGAAAAAATGACCGTCTGGCAACCCTGCTTAAAAACAGTACAAGAACGGAAATAATAGCACAAGATGAAGCAATCGGAGTCAACGTGTTAAATTAATTATTATATCTAATCTTATTCAAACTTGATGCGTGAGCTGTAACCAATTTGTCCAATAATTTTCGTTTCCAGCAGTGTTTTAATAATGATGGAGAAATTACTGACAAAAATGTATGCATAAATATATTACACTAGGACTAACCACGTTTGAAATGGAATATTTCATGTTTCATACTTCATTTTAAGAGCATATATTTTTCTATTTCTTAACTTGTTTTTAGCGCATTTTCTCATTTATTGAAGAAATGCCCTAATGTGCTTGTCATGTCTGTCGGTCTGTCCGTCCGAATGTCTGTCTGTCCGTCCGTGACTTCAAGTTTTCGTCGACGAGAAAATGCGCTTTCTTGTCACTCACTGCAGTGAGTACTGAGTTATATTTTTTGATATTTCTGGACATTTCTATTTTATTAAGAAATATTTCTTACCTCTCCTGCAGTCACATGGTCGCTAACCACCACGAAGACCCTGACATCAACGCCCTCCTGAAGGCGGTGCGGGTGTTCATTGTGCCCTCCCTCGCCCCCGACGCCCTCGACGCCCTCCCTCAGGAGACGGCGGCCGTCACCGCAGCGCCCGTCCTCGGCTACGGCAGGAGGGCGGCGCCCTCGGAGCTCTGCTTGGATGAACACGTCAAGCCTAGCGTCAACTTCGACGCCATCTTTGATAATCATAGTTAGTTTAGTGCATAATTATCGTTTTTAATTGTTTAATTAATTATCAGTTAATTATCGTATCTTTGTTCAGTTAATTATTGTATCGTTGTTTAGTTAATTATCAGTTAATTATAGTATCGTTGTTCAGTTAATTAATTGTATTTAATAATTGCCGGGTGGGCTAACTTTGGCCTGTTATTAATCAATTAGCCCGGAAATTTAGGTAGAACTATTTTGTGAATGATATCCTACGATGACATAAAGCAAATTTTCACTATAATTAACATCAATCAATCTGATTTATATTAAAATATTCCTGAAGAAAATAAAATTAATTGCTGATCCCTGGAAGATTATTTTTCATTATAATTAACATTAATCAATATGATTAATATTCTAATATTCCCGAAAAAATAAATGCTGAGCGCTGGAAGACTATAACCTGACGCAGGCGACGCGACGGTGGGCGACGTGCTGACGTGGGGGCGGCAGCAGCGGCTGACGCTGACGGCGGTGGTGGGGGGCGGTGCTGAGGGCGTCACCCTGCCCTACGCACAGCAGGGACGACAGATGCCGCCCCTTGATAAGCTCGTAATTATTATACATTTATTATTGTATACATTTATTATAATATAATTATTATTAACATCTTTGTTGATCTCAATACCTGCTCTTCTGACTTGATTCAGAATCTCCTCAGACCTAATACTCGTGAATTACGAATTGAAATTAAAGCTTGAATAATACGGGACTGATTATAGGAAGTAGATAATACGGGATCGAGTATTTCTGGTCGATAATTCGGCATTAATAATCGGGGATCGATAATCCGGGATTGCTAATCCGGGATCTATAATCCGGGGTCGATAATCCGGTATTTATAATTGGACTGCAGGCGCTGTGGGAGCTGGGGAGCAGGTACAGCGCGGTGGCAGGGCTCCCACAGCAGTTGGACGCCTGCTGGGGGGCGCCCCTGGACCGCGGCGTGAGCGCTGCTAACGAACTCACTGACCCCCACCCCGGCGCCTTCATGGTCTGTCTTAATATCAATTATTACTTAATTTCTAATATACAATGAGTATATTGAATTATTACTTAATTCTTACTAAATATACTATAACAGTGCTTAATTATTATTTAATTTTTACTTAATATAAAATAATAATAATGAAATTATTATGTAATTCTTACTTGATATATATTAACAGTGCTTAATTATTACTTAATTCTTACTTAATATAAATTAACAGTACTTAATTACTCAATATACAATAATAATACTTGATTATTAATTATTTCTTACTTAAAGTACAATGAGTATACCGTATTTAATTATTACTTAATTCATACTTAAATTACAATGAGTATATTTAATTATTACTTAATTCATACTTAAATTACAATGAGTATATTTAATTATTACTTAATTCTTCCTTAATATACAAAAATAATACCTAATTACTGATTTTCTATCACAATTACACTACACGCTACAATATTACACTATTACTACCCTATTGTACAGTTTTATTTTACTTCGATTCATATCGCATACAATCATCCATCTTTTATATTATCGCTGAAAGATGATGAATAATTTTCATAATTACATTAGAATTGCCTTCATCAAACAATTGCGGTGAATGAATCTTGAATATTATCCTCATTCTAATATCCATAAACTAAACCATCACAAATTATTATTTATGACATGAACATTTGTAAGGAACGTAACGTTATGTACGCAGTCGGCTTCTGCCCCCAGCTCTGCGTTATGTTTCGGTATTACAACAAACTGTCGCTAATTTAATATTTTATTACGATTAACTGCCGACGATACTAATTATTACGACAAACTGCCGCTAAGTATTTTTTGTAATCGTTCTCCTTCACGCATGTTAAAAATGTTATAATTATTATATTTCTTGTATATTAATATAGTACATGTTATTAATATTATATATTTATATATATTATAAAGACCTATATATATTATATATTATACTATATAGAATATATTATATATATTCAATATATATTATAAATATTATATAAATTATGGAACATTACGATGCACCGCAGGACCGATGGTACAGCGAGAGCATCAGCCTGCCCCTGACGGTGCACTACGGCTGCTGTGGTGCAGTGCAGCCACAGCACCTGCAGCAGCTGTGGCAGCAGCACTCCAGGGCGCTGCTCAACTTCGCTCAGGCGTCCCTTGCTACATTCAACGGTCTTATTTACTAGCATTTCTTTGATATTTTTAGTGTTCTGAGGCTGTACTATCTAAGGCTTAATTACACGTAGTGGTCTAAGTACTAAGTACACTTAACGGCATAAGTATACATAACGACCGCTACGTGTACTTAGGACACGTAGCGACCTATTTACACGTATCATCTTTAGTACTTGTAGCGGCCTTAGTACAAGTAGCGCAAATGAGGAAGATGCGGCCTAAGTAGGTACACGTAGCGGTCAATTTCTCATCAGTGACTGTAGGTGCAGCTAGAAAAGCTACCATTGATTGGGTGATGGAGTTAGGAATTCATAACTATCTGTGATAGTACGGCCATTGTAAAGATTTTTGTTGCATAATTATTGGTGATCAAGAATAAGTCGCAGTGCTAGTTTATTTATTATAGAACAAGTCAAGCCAAGCCGACTGCTTATCCAGTTTCAATGTGAAGGTCAGCGTCGGCCTTTGCTCATGGTTTTTTTAGCGCATTTTCTCATTTATGGAAAAAATGCACTATTGTGCTCGCCATGTCCGTCTGTCTGTCCGTCCGTCCTTCCGCGACCTCAAGTTTTCGTCGACGAGAAAATGCGCTCTCTGTCACTCATTGCAGTGAGTACTGAGTTACATTTTTTTGTACTGCTAGTGAATTTGCTTCCGACGGCTTTAATATTATTGTCACTTGGTAATTTTTTTCAGATGAATGTTAAATTCATAATTTTTTGCTCACTTTTATCCTCAGTAAATCAATTATCGTACTCTCGTGTGCAGGCTACGTGGTAGACTCTAGCAACGCGCCCGTAGCGGGGGCGGAACTTTACTTCGACAACACCTCCTTCAGCGTCCGCTCCGACACCAACGGCGCCTTCCGTCGCCCTGTCGCCCCTGGCGCCCACACCATCACAGTGTCCGCCCACGGCTTCTTCCCCACCACCGTCCCCGTCACCGTGCATGGGGAACTAGAAACATATACAGAAGGGCAACACCCTCCTGCTGGTGGGGAAGTAGGGGTAACGGGACATGGAGGTGTCCCGCTGGTCGTGGTGCTGCAGCGAGACATGAGGGTCTGGGGCGTGCCGAGACTTACGTTCGTCTTCGCTGTTGGTGAGCTGCCATCCGTGCAGTGTTCTGGCTACACACAGAGAAATATTTGGGATTTTTCCGAATAGCGAAGCACTTTTTGTAATTGTGCGAGTCATCCTGATGCAGTTTTGCGCTGTAGAAGGACGTATCAGAGCCAAGTGCAGGAAATTTGTCACTATTTGGACAATATCGCTCATTAATTTATTATTATGCTTATGTATCATATATGTATTATTGATGCTAATTAATTCATAAATATGAGTATCAATTTATGAGTATGACTATTAATTTATGAATGTGCTTATATTCTGAGGTTAATTACTTAATTGCACCCTACCTTCATTAAGAAGATGTCAGGTCTCATTAGCTGCGTAGTTAAGGTGGAGTACAGAGCAGACCAGCCTAGACTCATGGCACTCAAGATGATATCAAGCGCGTTTGAGTGCTATCATGTAATGTATCAGTTTATTTATTTATTATACTTTTTTTGCTACAAACAGTGCTCATAATATGATTGTTTTCTCCTTCTATGCCTTCAAACCTAGTATATTATTGAAGAATTGAAATGAATTTTTTGCTGCGGCCAATTACCACTTCAATAGTAATCACTTGCCCCAGCCCAGCTTATCTGCTGTTGCTGTCGTCCCGCCTCATCGTTTGTTCGTCAGAGGCGCTACGGGTTCGAGCACCTGGAGAAGGCGCTGGTGTCGCGCCAGCAGTACGGCGACGCCTCCTCCAGCAGCGACGACGAGCTCGTGATGCAGTACAACGGCACCACCACCGCCATCACATCTAAGGCCAAAAGTCCGTCACGTTATTTCCGGGGCTTACATACAAGTCTTGATCCCTCCGAGATAATGATAGCGCAGTCTATTTGAATTTGGAAGCTCTTAGCATGATCACAATTTACTAGAACGTTTCTTATCATTTGACAATATGTTGTTTTGTTCACATGCTTGATTAATTTTTCGAAAATAATAAATAATATAGTACTAAAAAATGATAGTAATAATTTAAATAATAAAATGATATATCATATGGTAACTCGAATCTTTTTATGTGTATTTCGCCGTTATCACGGCATCTTTATCGAGTCGGTTACGTCAACTTCCAGCCTTTCTTGTTATTGAATTAACGTGTTAACTTGATGCTGGTTAGGCTGATGACACTTGACCTCATATTTCTTTATCGCCCTATTAAATTATAAATTATTTAGTATCAACGTCACGAAAGAAAGTGAGAATTGTCTGTACGAGAATAAAAGTTTTTTAAACCGTATTTTCTGTGACTGCAGAGAAGCGTTCCCGGTACAGCAAAGCGGCGGCCAGCAACGGCGGTGGCGGGGCGGCGGCCGTCGTGCCGTACTACGACACCTCGTCTGATGAGGACGAGCTCTTCCTTAGGGCCACGAGATAGTCTTCCTGCCTCACCTGCCTCAACTCTTCCTGCCTCACCTGCCTCAACTCTTCCTGCCTCAACTCTTCCTGCCTCAACTCTTCCTGCCTCAACTCTTCCTGCCTCAACTGCCTCAACTCTTCCTGCCTCAACTCTTCCTACTTCAAACATGGAAAATTCATTGTATTTGCAGTTTCCTTTCTTGGAATCATAAAATCTTTCTGTAAATTTATCATTTATATTCCGCCTTTACAACAAGGAAATTCCTTAAATTGCTGTTTCCTTTTTTAGAATAAAAAAATTCATCTATGCTGTGACTTTAGTATCTTTATACCGGTAGTACGTACCTCTTTTAAAATTAGAATATTCATTGTATTTTGCAATAATGTTTCTTTTATTAGAAAAAATTCAAATATTTCATAACTGTATTATCTCTTACATTTTCATGAAAAATAGATCGCCAAATGGTTATTATTGAAATAGATCTGAAACATTCATATTTTATTCTGCGTGAAACATGTTGGAATTAGAGGGTTAATCATAAAGTATTCATCATATATTGTTCTATGATGTGTTGAACATCTTATTCGTGTTCTAGGCGAGATTAAAAATGATTTTAATAACCTTTCTACTTAACTGAATGATAGCTCCTATGCCCGATGATTAATCAGTGATGATATTTGTGAGGATTTCAGTGAATTTGTACTGCGATTTTCTTTTTCCGGATTTTTCCAACTTATTTTTTCGTATTGATTTTGTATCGATTTTTGTGCCGAACTGTAAAGAAAAATCTTGCAGCAAATATCCGAACGTTATTAACAGATAGTATGCTATTTCCCGTGGCTGAACGGTTATTTCTTCAGTGAGAGTACTGAGCTATGCAATAATTTATTGTACAATTTTAACAATATCAGGTTACAGATTCTTTATTGCGGTTAAGAAGATAGTGGCTTCGCGGGATTGTTAATGTTATAGTAAGACAGTAGTTATTAGTACTAGCGAATATTTCGTTACAAGCTACACTCATTAGTTGAGACGTACATAAAGTCGATTATAAACGCACAAGGCACATCAAAATATATTATGAGCATTAAGCAAAAAATATATATAACTGTATGAACATTGTAGAAGTTATTGTTTTCAAGTTTGAGACAATACCTTTGATCCGCTGACTATAGCACATTCATCAATATTATTTCTTTTTTAAATGATATAACCAATATAATGATTTATAACCTTTATACTGTTTAAATTGCAATGCTGTATTGCGACATATTACTTGCCCTGACCCTTGAAAAATCTCCCCCATTACCTACGAGCTCGTTTGCTGGTCGTAAATGGCTTTTTTCTGGGGCCGTTCTATGAGTTTTCGCTTAAGTACACTTAACGGCCTACATACACGTAGCGGCCTAAGTAGACGTAGCGGCCTACGCTATCAGATATAGCGGCTTAAGTACGCATAGCTACCTAAGTACACGTAGCCGCGTATTTGTCATCTGTGATTGGTGGATTCATACGAAGAGTGATTGGCTGGCTGAATTATAAATTCCTTAACTATTTTTTTGGTCCGGCCTCTGGCCACGATATGCAGGCTTTGTTGTCGCGTTTATGACTCATCTTTGAGTTAGTGCTTGTCCATTGAGCGATTATAGTCAAGATTTTTTATACATTACTCGTTCGTATTGCGCTACGCTTAGAACCAAAATTAGGCTTATTGTTTGAGTGATTGTATACTTGATAGGTTGTTAGTGCACACTTGATAGGTTGTTAGTGCACGAAAAGCACTTGGTCGTGTTGTGCAACGGTTGAAAAATGAAATAAATGTGTTCAGTTTTTTGTTGTATTTCGGTTGCACAATGCATCACAATTTCTTTGTTTCTGTTGTCCATGGGATATAATTTTGGTATTGCATGTTTTTGTTAATTCCTATGAGCGTGGCATTTGTTTTTCAACCTCACGCCACGTATCTCATAGGTTTGTCTATTATAAAAGGTGAAATTAGATAACTGTGCAGTTGTAAAGGCATAAAATATGCTCAAGAACTTCAAGATGATAGTCGTAATCGAAGAAGAACTGGAATCAAATTTTTCTCTCAAAGCGTTCGTCAGACATCAATGTTTTGGTGGGATTGTTAATAAATACTAGAAAAATTGTGTAAATTCTATCCATAATTTTTCAGAGAATTTTAATGATTAACGTCGGTAGCGACTTCAAATTTTTTATTCTCTTGTTTTGGTTTAGGCCAAGGCACGCTTAATGCGATCAAAATACACGTACTTGTAAGTTTATTTTTGCTTCTCCATTTTGTAAAAATTTCGGAGATAATCAAACTTTCACAATCAAATAGATTTTCCTTGTATGTGTTAGTAGCAACGTTGCTACGTGCAGGGCTAGCGCGCAGTTTTCTTCTATTAGCGTTGAATATATAATAATAATAATAATAATAACGCATCTTCCGCCTGTTGATTAATTTTGCCTGAGTGAGATTTTTGTGATTTATTATCAAATGTTGACAATTTCCTTCGCCTTTAGATGAGAAATAATTCATAAAGAAGCACATTTACAAAAGGCAGTGATCTTTTAGGACGGCTTCCTTGCAATCGATCCTCTGAATAAAAGCTTAAGTTTTTATTGTTAGCGTATTTTATTGCTCTTCGGTGCCTTTAAACTAATTTAGTTTTGAATAACCTAATACGATGGATATGATTCACCGCATCACTCGTGACAGCCTGTGTCTCAGTTGGTTGTGATAAGATAGCAACATTTTTACTTTTTAAACACTCATTGTCCATAATAGTTTTTTATTACTTGCTCTATTTGAACGTTATTCTTATCACAAAAATATCGACATCATGTGCCGCGTAGGCTGGAGGGTTCATTACAATTTAAATTTCATGAGGTTTGAGTTCACAAAATTGTCTTCCCCAAAGCCGTTTTTATCGTTTTTTTTTTTTTGCAACGTAATGTATAGACTTTAGTCAAGAAGTTTATTATACTGAAGTAAGCTATAATACCTAATTATGTGGAAACGCTGTTGCGACATGGAGTGATGATTTGAAAAACTTCATAAATAAATGCATTTCGTGAACGCACCAAATACAGGCCAAAACAATTGATGATAAGTGACACCTAATCATTTCCTTCTGAAGTGTTTCGCATGTTCTCCAGAAATTTGTTGTTGATTTGATAATCCTTGCTATCTCCGAGTGCTGGATAGTGCCAATTAAGCAATGATAATAAAATTCTTATCGATTTATTTGGGGCCAAATCGTAAGTAGTCCATACAATTATCGTTAGTTTGAGGATAATTCTAATTCCAGTTCTGTGAATGGCGACGATCTGTCATTGGCTGCTGTAAATTCGATGTGCAATTTTTTTTAATTGAGCCCCATAGCTCCAAAAACTTCTTAAAAATATTCATGTGTGCTTCCTTCGGTATGTTCTGCTGTATTAATTTACTTTCTAAGATTGCCTAGCAATCTCATAACAAGAATTCAAGTGTAAATTACACGTATCATTAATGTCAGAATTTTGTAATAGTACACGAAATTGGTGTCTGACATCAGGGGGAATCTAAAAATTTTTCTCCCAAACGGTATTACTTTTTTTATCGTACAGAAGTATGATAAAAAATTTACGTCACTGACATACCATAGAATGTCAAGTGAAGGTCTCGACATTGTTAACAATAACAAGATAATTATGTTCAAATATATATTTTGATGTGTTCGATTAAAGTGCATTAAAATTGCTAGGCTATTCAGATGCAATTTTAATTTGTTAAAAAGTTTCTAAAAGAAAAAGAATCATTCCCATTGGGTGTCCGTAGAGTAATTTTTTTCGAATTTAGAATCGAATTATGGCTGATGGTTATGCATCGTTGTCGAAATTTCTCATTCGACGATTGACGTTTAAATCATTTAAAAATCGTCATTAAATATTGGACGTCGATAGAGGTTCTTTAAAGCTAAAATGTGATATACTTAGTTTTGTTTGAATACTGTAAATGAAATGAACGCTACTTGTCAGTTTTACCTTTGTTCAGCATGTAGAGAGAAGCCTCGGGCTCCATAAGCATAGCTTTTAGTACGAACGCTATTTACACCAAGTTCTTCCGTGTATGAAAGATATTAAATCAAGTTGAGCTGGTTTTTATATTTCGCTGCTATAGCAATATCATGCATTTCTAACATGTAGCCAGTCTATAATGCAGGAATTATTGTCAAGTTCTTCCGCTAACTTCGAAATTTGATTGAGCAATTATTGTACAAAATGGACGGGGTCTAAAGTTTTATTAACCAACGAATTCATCATTTATAATTACGTGTAAAATAAAGAGTGCATGGTCTCTTTCCTAACATTAGAATGCATAATGTTATGGGCTATAAAATTCTCGTAACTAGGTTCGTTGCCACAATACAAGGCTAGATCAAAGTTTGTTCTAAATTCACATCTCATTATTAATCATAGAACCCAGAGTATGCACGGTGTGTAACGTGCAACATTCAAAGAAATGACTGTAACTTTGTCCATATAGAGATGTATTTTAACCCTTGTGTGGGTCATCCTGACCCATTCTGGCATGGGAAAAGGTGTGTCTGTCTACAACCGCTCGGCGCTCACTGCCTGTGTAGAAACTACGTCGCTATTTGCACAATATAACCCAGCCATTTTTCTAAGTGTTATGCACAGCGTCTTCCGGTTATCGTTCAAGCTTCAGATGTCCTCAGAATTATGAACATAATTCTGAAATATGAATAGAATTATGAATTATTATTATTAAGTTTAGTTTGGTGCTGCATTCGGGTAATGAGCGCTGCAGTGATTACGTGAGGTTTTGGTATCATTCTTCCATATTATTAAGTACATTTCATTAATATGTTCTTGGCTCGCATTTAACGATGTATTCACGTCAAAGAATCAGAATGAAAAATAATTGTCCCAAGAAGGTTACATTACATGTAATATATTTTATCGAACACTTTAGTTCCAATTGTGATTCAAATTCTTCTGTCTCTCTTCTCACGTAGCTAATACCTCCATTTTATTTTTATCTTTTTGCGAAACTGACATTATTAAATATATGATTTTGCTTGCCGCCATGACTGAATTCAACGGTTGTAAAGAATTCTTTGTTGCTCTTACTACTTTTGAACGGTATTTCACGTAAGTGTTCGCTGCTGTCTCATACTCCATCTTCTTGTTAGAACTGTTCTTGTAGAACTACTCTGGGAACTGTATGCTGCTGTTACTGTTCTCATACTCCGTCTTCGGTCTCCATTTCTCTTACGTGCTAACGCTACTTTTTTATAGTTTCAGCTCTCTGGTCATTTGAGAACTTCCATAATTTGTTGATGATTAAGTTTCATGTACGAAAATTTCCGTGGATTGATATCTTCCTCCGTGCCGGTTGTTATTTTTCTTTTTTTTTAGGGTTGGCATGTCATGTGCGGAAAGAAATATTGACCCCACCAGGTGTACTCACAGCAGCGTGTGTTTTCATTCTGAAAATATTTGTGTCTGAAGTAAGCTGCTCGCTAGAACAATTTTTGATTCTCAATGCGCAGGAAAAACTTGAATTGCTATTTCTGATTGAAAGGCGAGGTGAGACCGAGTGCTGAGATTTAAATCTGCTTTTCACATATCCTGCTTTCGTATACACTATATATACTATTTTCATGTTTGTTGCCACTTGCCAATTTTTTGCCGCTTATTGCTTGGTTTTGTTCATTTACTTTCGAATAATTTCCTATTCATTAGTCTCTCTGAACCATTTACGAAAGTGACTTGCTTTTATGTTAATATATTTTCTTGTATGAACTTTTTTGCAATTTTTTTCAAATCTTTTTTATTTTTATATCGCCTATATCCATTTTTTACAGTTGACCTAATATCTCTCGTATTTTATTATTAGCTAAATGAACTTTCCTAACACCTCACCTGCTAAGTATGTTCCCCATTCTTATGCATTGACCAGTAAAAATATCCTGAATTGCAACGTCCGTGCGCACTTTGCAAACAGAATGCTAAGCTCCTTCATCTCCACTAATCCAATATTGCTCAGGATATAATTATTTAATCATTATAATTATATATGATTTGGTTATATATGATTATATATGATTTGATTGATTATAATCATTATAATTAATCAAAATAAACACGATATTTAAACAACAAATGAATTCATTCGCGTTTTTTCGACATCAAATTAATGTAAATGTGTTTAGAAAAAGCGCCATGGGACTGCAAACAACGATTTACGATCTCCACTATCAAGTTGATCCTTCGCTATCCTAATGAAAAGAATCTTGTTTATCTCACATTTAAATGTTATATTTTATAATATGGAAGATGGTTACATCAACGTGATGTTTTATTGACCTTCTAGAATCTAGAGTGACGATATTGTGACGAAAATTAATTAGTAATTATTTTACGACAGTGATATTATATTTCACCATAGAAACTAATTTCGATGGTGAAATGTCATTTCATCATATTTACTTCGATAATTAGAAAAGTTTCTGTATAGAGTTGAGTGTATCCTGCAAATTTCGTTATCTCAAAACATCTAAATTAGATGAAAAAAGGATTTGATAAATGAATCAATCAATTGCCTGATTTTTAGGATTTAGTGTAGTAATTCTAAAACAAATGTATTTTTACTTTAGAGTTATTCCTTCTGAGCATCCGAAATTAATTTTGTCTCTTTGTCAGATATGGCGCTGAAACAACTGCTTTGCCGGTTATTTTATAGCTCTCGGTAAAATGTGTAGTTTTAAATTTCCCTAAAATATTCTCTTTCGATGAAAAAACTTTAGATTTTCTTCGTATTCGCAGGCTCGATCTCAGTTTTTCCGCAGCATTTGGCAACAAACTCTTTGTTTGCGTTTTTCGTGGAGCTCCAAGCTCTTGTCTTACTAGCCCAGGGCATCTGCACATAAAGGCACACGCATCCTTTAGGTCGGTAGTGACTGTACACGGCGTGCGCTCTGATGAGTACAGAGTCATCCTCCTGCAGCTCTGTACGCTGTCCTTCCACCTCCACGCTGCTGGTGCCAACCTGCCCATGTAACCAAGTGTCGTGGCTTCATATTAACAATTGCAGCCAACAAGAAAATTATTAATAACAAGCATTCTCCGGTCTTTAATCGAATTTTCATTAAGGAATACTTCTGCCCCTCTATCCAATTTTTGCAATTGTATACTCTCTGAAATCCTTTATGAAAGTTTGATTAAAGACCGGAGAAAATGTTTATGGCTTCTGCCTAATTATACCAACTAATGACTGAAATCTATGTATTGAAGATTCCGTGTATCTTCGAACTGTAGTTATTGTATTTAAGCCTGGCGCTGTAAATGTTGAGATGTTACTTAATTTCGTATCCGCAATAGCCATTATGTCTTGTTTCCTTCTCATAATATGCCATCGCATTTTTTGCTCAATTAAGCAATTTTGCTGGAACATTTTCTGTTATTTTCAGTTAAGTCCTATTGCATTATCATTTCGATTAAGAAAGATGAGTCTCATTACTAATTCAATCCCAGATAAACACTTCAAAGTCCTGAAAAAATGCCTATTAATAATGTTCTATTTCATTATATATGACCAATTTACCCACCAGTTGCAGTAGCCACGTCTCCTCGTCGACGGTCGCCACGTCGATGTCGGCGCCCTCGCCCAGCGCCAGCACGTCGCTCTGGTACGACGTGTCCCACAGACGCAGTCTGCCCGCGCTCTCCAGCTGACGGTCAATACTTAATTTAAATATAATTAACTTGATGGTTAAATTAGTAATGATTGTAATTTTCTAGAAAAGGCTTGATTGAAACGTAATAAACTTGCTGGTTAAATTAGTGAGTATTGTAATTTTGTAGAAAAGGCTTAATTGAAATATAATTAATCAACTTGCTGGTTAAATTACTAATTCTTATATTTTGTAGAGAATACTTAATTGAAACATAATCAATTTGCTGGTTAAATTAGTGATTTTTTTTAATTTTGTATGGAAAAGGCATCGTATTGAGTAGTTTTGTAGAAATGATCGGGTCATGTAGTAAGCAATTGTCATCGCTCTCAAGTTGAGGATCAATGCTTAATTGAAATATAATCAACTTACTGGTTTAATTTGTAACTATTGTTATTTTGTAGAGAAGAGGGGACGTATTAAGTAGTTTTGTAGAAAAGATCGGATGTCATGTAGTACGGAATTGCCATCGATCGCGAGTTTAGGATCGACAGTTAATGGGTGAACTAGCAGATGTAGTCACATATAATGTTCGTTATATTTTATAATAATTTTATAATGATATAATTACTAATGGTAGCCATGCATACAAGGGCGAGTATGAAATTAGGTTCCGTATATTGTGTACAGAAATAAAGTGACCGCGACGTAAGTTTAAACGGAGCCAAGGGCAAGCAAGTAATTTTTTAAACCGTCCTTAAACTTTTAATACATTTAAATGAAATCCATTGCCTCTTATCTAAATACTTGAATATGCATTTTCTTGGTTGAATTATTAAACTATTAAATAATATGAATGTTGAACAGTGTTGAATGATATGTTGCGTACTCTACTAATTCAAAGCCGTTTTTGACTTGCGGTAAACAAACGCATTATCATTGATGTGTTGCAGTCACTTCAGTTACTAAATCTTCTAAATATATATCAAATAAATATGTGCCACTAATTTCAATTATGGTGGTTTTACCTTAGCCAAATTTTCCTTTATCCAAGTGCGTAAGTGGAAAGGCTTCTCAGTAAAACGCTCCGAGTCTGGTACGAATGGAGGCGTTTCAGTGATGGTTCCTGAGGGAGCAAAATTATACATTTATTATAATTATAATTTATTTATTTAGAATTATTATTATTATAATAGATTTTTTCTTTAGTTCTTGGTCAGTTTACGCAGAAATTTTGGGATGGCGACTTTGCGAGAATTTCAGTTTCTAAATTTCCAAGTTGCTCTTTGTTTCATTTTATTTATTATTTTTAAACTTCTAATTATATAAATTTGGTGATTCGGAAGAATTTCTATCCGAATTCCCGATAAAGTGCGAATAATTATATTAACAATAATCTAATAATAATAAAATAATAATAATCTCGCACTAATTAGAGTGAAGGCTTGTAATAGTTAAGGAGGTTACATGTAAACGAAACTGTTGCGCTGTAGTCGTGCTCGAGCCTCTAACGGATGTCGAACGAATGCTGAAAATTCAATTTTATTCAGTCGATTGTTTTTTTTTTTGTATGAAAACCACCCGGGCAGCTCAACTAACATTCGGTTTAGGTTTTATTATTATAAAACCTAAACCGAAATATAATTTTATTTAAGGTCAACTATTTATATAAAATATCTTTATGTTTTTAAATAATGCTTTAAATGCTTTATCTGTGATTGAAATGTTCTGATTCACTAGTAAAATAGCGTCGGCGTTGAAGATTAGGCCAAGTCTGGCCTGTCGCCGATTCTTTAAATGTTCCAAACTTGCTAGCAGGAGGCCTTAAAACTGACCATTTGGTCAGATCTATCGGAAATGACTTTAATGGTATATAGTAATAATGTGCTTCAACAAACGGAAAGTGCATTTCTTCCATGCATATATGACCTCATAAAGTGACTTCAAACGCGAGGCCTCAACGACACCAATATGTCTGCTCCACATGTCGGTGACGCGAAATAAACATTGCAATGTAAATGCAAGATAAGATATATAAATAAATAAGATAAATCAATAAATAAGATAAATAAATAAATAATATAAATAAATAAATAAGATCAATAAATATATAACATAAATGTAAATATAATTTAAATGTAAATGTAAGATTCAGTGTAGTACATATTGGTTGCAAATGTATGTCACCAGGAATAGGTTTGCCAGTCTTGTGTTGCTCGGACGCGAAGTAGCGTTTGATGACAGGACCGAGCTGCGTGCCCAGGTCTTCGCAGTAGAACCACTCCTCGTACAGCGTTTCAGTCGTGTCACCCACGAAGTACCTGTGAACAAGACAATTTACGCAAATATTACAACGGTAATTGAATAATAACACCATTGTGTTTACCAATTTTGGTAATTAAGCAAAAATTAAAATAAAATTTTACGTAACTAATTATAAAGAATCTTGGTAATTAAGATTAAAATTTAAACAAAATTTCATGTAGCTACCTATATGGGATGTCATAATCTTGACAATTAAGAATAGAATTAAAATAAAATTTCATGTAACTTATTATAAAGGAAGTCTCGAAATCTGCGATTCGTAGAATTATACTACGTAAGCAAAATTATTCAAAGGTCATCCAGGGAGGAAGAATTTAACTTCATAATAACCGTATCATTGGATCATTTGTGTTCGGAACGTTACCTTTCTTTCTCCCTGGATGGCCATTTAGCATAAGGTATTTATCTAAATATTCGATTAATTTCCACGATGAATTTCGACTTATAACGGCATTATAACGTGGCATTATAGTTTTTAGAGTAATAAATTCCCTTGCTGCTGACCTCACGCAGTCTTGCTCCTGTAGCATGCGCTCGCGCTCGATGACCAGCCCCATGGTGTCGGCGAAACGCTGGGGCGAATGCGGGATCTTGCCCGGCAGGTGGAATGCCTGCACAAGCACATGTTAAGCCCTATGGTTATTGCATGTGCACAATACTCCGGTTATAATGCCGGATATTTCAATACAAAACCGAGCTGAGGCATATAATAGCCTCGAAAAGTAATAAATAAAAATGTCACTTGTTTATCACCCGCATGCATTGACGATGGTTGAAAAATGGTATCGGTCGTCATTATTTTAATAGTTTCCTCTCGTGAACTCAAGCAAGTTTTCTCCTGCTCTATATATAATTTTATAATCGCCTCGCTTTACTAGATCATTATTAAAAATTCATTGATTTTCAACCACCGTCAATCAAGAAAAAGGTTATTATGAAGCATTCCTCGTAATGACTACCTCGCCCTCTTTGATGATGACGTCCCTGAACTTCCCGTTCTCGAGGATGATGAGGTTCATGTCGCCCTTTATCATGTAGAAGAATTCCTCGCCCTCCTGCAGGTGGAAGTCCTTCCTGATGTTTGGTCCGCCCACGTACATCACCTTCAGGCGACCGGCGCCGTGCCTCAAGAGGGGATTCGTAAGTGAGATTTCTCGTATTATTTTGTTCTCGTATTATTTTGAAATTTAAACTCATGTAAATCATAATATGAAAAAAATGAAAGTACCAAATCCTGTTACACTGCAATATGTTATGTAAGATTCTTGTAACGTTAATGTCGTAATTCCGTTGGTATCTGATTATTGGATATTGAGTCGCCTTCCAGTTGATTTGATTTAAGATTCACGATCATGTTGTACAATATCGATCGATCGTGTCTTCTGTTGCCACAACATATATATTGAACACAAAACGAATTTTGAAATTAGTGAATTTTATTCACAGTGACTGTCTCTTCATGAAGATTGTTTTTTTAGCGCCACTACTTCTTGGTAGCTCTAGCAGAACATCAAGTTGAGGTTCGGAAATATTCTTCTTGCTGCGCAAATATCTCGAGGCCGAACGATGCTATATATAGATAGTAGAACCGGTTGCTTGCTATCTGACGATGGATGCGGCGACTGTTTGGGCGCCACTCATACAACTCGTTGGTCCTTGGGATTAATTCTGACCTTGGCTAAAGCAAGAATCCTTCTATTGAGCTGGGCGGAAACATAGCTCTAGTTGTCTTTGTTCAGAATTGTATGCATGCATTCGGTGCGTCTAAATGCAAGGGTCTAAATTATGCTGTATATCAATGAGCTAGTTATCAGAATTGAAGAAGAGGATATTTTTCAAATTATTTCTCACAACAATTTCACGATGAAGATACTAGTGAAATGATTGCACATAAAATCCATAATTAGAAATTATGTTAACGTGCTGGTTAATTCTATTTTTCGCCACATTCGTAATCATATTTATTTCGACATATACTTTTCATTGTTGTGTAGGCTAATAAACTCCTCGAATATTTATATGATCGTCTGTGCACCTCGATTTTTAGCGCATTTTCTCATTTATTAAAAAAAATGCCCTATTGTGCTCGTCATATGTCCGTCTGTCTAACCGTGACTTCACGTTTTCGTCGACGAGAAAATGCGCTCTCTGCCACTAACTGCAGTGAGTACTGAGTTATATTTTTCATCATGCAAATGTATATCTACATATAAACGCAATATATACATTGGGGGAAATAAATATTCGTACACTTGAAAAATCGTATTTTAATGTAAGTAAGTACACAAACTTAACAGGAAAAGTGATTTAAATTATGTATAGAGACGCATAGTATTCAAAAATACTATCAAAAGAAATTAAATCTCAATGCAACAAAAAACAATGCAACATGTTCACTTTTCGGGGTGAAAAAAGTATTCGTACAAAACAATAAATCCGCATTCCTGATCGTCTTTGGTTTTCAACGCTGTCACGGGTCTTGAAGCGTCCAATGAACGAAGCAACTGTACTAAAAGGAACATTCAAGTGGCTAGCAATCTTCCTATAACTTTCTCCTTCCTTCCAACGCGATAGAATTAGTTGTTTGTGTGGCGGTATTTGAAGATTCAAATTAAGAAAATTAAGGTCCCCAACAAACATTGAGAATCTTAAGGTGGTGTGCCAAGAAGAATGGTATAAAATACCAGTCAGCATCTGCAAATCATTGGTCGAGACGTATAGAAATAGACTGGTGTCTGTTGAGCTGAATAAAGGGTACTCAACCAAGTATTAAATTAAAATAATGCGGATTTATTGTTTTGTACGAATACTTTTTTCACCCCGAAAAGTGAACATGTTGCATTGTTTTTTGTTGCATTGAGATTTAATTTCTTTTGACAGTATTTTTGAATACTTTTCGTCTCTATGCATGATTTAAATCACTTTTCCTGTTAAGTTTGTGTACTTACATACATTAAAATACAATTTTTCAAGTGTACTAATATTTATTTCCCCCCACTGTATATATACATATATATTTTTTCAATATATAACCAGAATATGGTGAATATCTGAACAGGAATCTCAAAATGCAGTCGTCAGCTTCGAGGAGCCTCAAATGTTCGTGCGCCTTATATTGAGATTTAAACTGCGAATATAATGCAAGTGAATCAGACTTCCATGATTTTTTTGGGAGATAAGTCGATGGTTTATAAGATTATCTTTTACTGACTTCACTGTTTAATAATTCTCCTCAAAAATAATTTATTTCAATACTTACATAAGGTAGTTGCAGACAGGGGGCTTGAAATGTTCCCTGTTTTGTTTGAGCCATTCATTTGTGTTGTGATAAACAAATTTTGCTTCTTTCGTTCCGTTTTCAAGCGACATTTTAGAGCAACTTGAGCTGCACGAAGTTCAAAAAATAAATAAGTAAATAAATAAAGCACAAAACAAAATGGCTTTTGATTTATGCTGTAAAAATTGCTGCCAGAGTTGCTCGAAGCGCTTCGATGCTTTTCGAATACGGCAATTTATAAAATATTTGAATTTAAACTACGGGCGTAGATAGAAGTTTAATAATTTATTTTAAACATTCGGAACGAATGACTCTGCTTGAACACCGTTAAGTAACTAAAATCTAAAATACGACAAACTTTCGTTAGTGGTTTGGAAGTTAATACGGATACTTTACACACTTCTTCAAAAGATGTAAAAAGATCATTTTATGGTCCTCGTAAAGCGTGTGGTTTCTTGATGGATGTCGATGTTATTTATACCAATCATTTAACTTTACCAGGTTCACTCTGTGTTGTATGAAATGGAATGCAATCATTTGATTATTTGTACCAGTTTTGTATTGTGGAGATCCTGCGGATGAATATTTTATAAATCTCGCTTAAATTTCACTCGCGGTGAGAGAAGGAGAAATTTTACTCGCTTAAATTTTTTAGAGATGAGGCTAATTCAATCATTACCTAAAATGATAATCTCCAATCCTTGAAACGCCAGTAAAAAGCATAGAAATAACATATCTTTAATTTCAGAACTATTAACTCAATCTCTAACAAGTCAGAGAAATAAAGAGATTACCCTGTCGTTCACATAACGACGTATCTTATCACTCGATACTCAAGACAAGGCCAAAGCTAACAAGTGATCGTTCTACCTATCGCACACCAACGTAATTAATCCTATTTCGCTTCCCTAGTAAGAATGCATCGTTGAAATTGACCATCAACCTCAACAGGTCCTATAAAAACCTTACTTAGGTGGTCGAGTCGCGTAAAAAGAGGTATCACACGCAAAGAGAGAACTACGAAGTGACCATTTTACCTATAGCGCAGTGATGTAATTCATCTTTTTTTGTGTAAGAGTTGAAATTGATAATCAGCCTATCTAAACTTCATTTAAGTAGTCGCGCAAAAAGAGGTATCTAATAAAGAAGTATCACACAAAAAGAGAGAGCTAGAAAGTGATTGCCTTGATGCGGGTGCGATCACGTCACTGAGTCGGACTCTGATCCTTACTGAACGATGTAAGAGTCTGAACAAAAACAAGGAGCCACTGAACCTCGTCAAACTAGTTGAACTCGCAGCACTTCAGAGCTTGGCACTGCACTATGGTTCAACTATCACCAGCAAAAAATTATCTATTTGTATTTCAAGAGAGTCATGAATTCGATCCAACATTTTGTGAGCACTGCATTGTTAACTATCCTATGTGTTTCCTTCAACATAAAAATAGGTTAAATTCAAACAGTCTCAGCTTTTAATTTCAATCATGGTGACTATTATACTTGGTGCATTTAGGTTGCGTCTTCCTTGCCGTTGACTTATGAGGCTGCTAAAATAATGCTAACTTATTGCTTTTTATCGTTTGGCGTAAGAAAGACATATGTATTTTTTTGCAGTTATTCATTTCTAATTTTTCTGTACCACAACCACTTTCTTTTTATTTACTTAAATTGCTTTAGATTTTGTTCAGCTTAACAATAAATGAACTCATGAAACATATGTTGGAATTTCGAATATTTTTTCGGTCTTAAAAATTCATTCAAGTCAGGAAAGGCATTGAGCTCCAAAGCGATTTGACGGTACGGGGGATGACCCAGCGTGATTATGCGTTTCATTGCAACGTGCGACCCTCTGCAGGAATGCATGTGTTTAGCAAGTCGGCAATTATTGACGAGTTGCAAATTGTCATTAAATGAAGATTCGGTTTTTGGCTCGGAACTAACGATGCAGCTGATTATTAAAGAAAGTGGATGAATATAAATCCTGAAGAAGTAGTGAGCTTTGAAATTGTGGAGTTCGATGGTGTCCACGATACCTTGGTACTGACACCGAAGATTGATTGTTTCAGGATTTGCTCAGAAAATTTCACAAGCTTGCCTTAAATTTAATAAACTATCGGAAAATGTTCAACACTGAAGGGACAATTGTATGGCCCAGAAATTTTTCGTATGAACATATAAGATTTTGTCAGAAAAATGTTGATCTCGAAAATAGAAGAAAGAAACCAGATGTAATCGCTTCTTTTATATCATATTGATGGCTTATTTTATCTATTTTGATACTTTATATGTAGCACTGGCATCGTGAATTTAGTGTAGATATAATGTCATATAATGCAAATTTCCGGTTTTCTATCAGCGTTGAAGTACTTAACCAATGAAATTCTGCAACCTGACTTGGGTTGAAGTAGGTTCACGTCTGCCGGGATTTAGTCAAAACACTGCTTAAGAAGAAGACACGATATTTAACGCTGATGAAATGAGCGATTTTTGCTTGCATGTCTATTAAAGCATTTGAATTAATATAAACATCCCAATATTAACATAAAATCAAATTTACTCACTTTTGCAATTATCCGGCAGTGTGGATTGAAAGATTTACCGATAGTGAATGTGACAGAAGGGAATAGGGATTATTCTCGGAGTTAGGTACGGTACCAATCCGTGCCATGAACATTCTGCTTTCGTGCCTAATGAAGTTTTCGAATTATTTAAAGACATAATCAATTTTTGTTAGGAATGTAATCTGTCTTGCTCACTTTGACCATTACCTTGCATTGTTGAATGTGGATTACAAGTTTTTAAGGCTTTTAACGACAGCTATTAGTTCGTAACTTCGTGTGATTGTGTGAATGTGAATCACTGCTCAGACAGCAGTTCTAAAGCCTTCTATCACGCATTCGCATTAATGATCACAGATCACGGTGTGATAGAATAGCTTAAGGGGACCGCCCTAGCATACGAAAACTTCTACAGTTATTATCCGATTGTCATGAAACTTCACATACATACGTAAAATGTAAAAAAAAAACATTTTGCTCCTATGAATTTTTCGAAAAAATTTATAGAAAACGTGAAATTCATAGAAAACGGCTAAAAAGAGGTACTTCAGAAAATCTATCTCCTCCCACAAATATCATCCTACAACATCGAGACACGTATCATTCGATTCGTAAAGACCATATCTATTGACTCTAACATCACTTTTTTCATTTTCTACCTAGTTTTTTTTATGACGTTTTTTCCCATTTTTTTTACATTTTTCACCCCTCCCCCCCCTAATCGAACGGTATATGTCTCATTGCTGTAGCTTGAAAACTGTAGGAGGAGATAGATTTACAAAAAGACAAAAAATGAAAATTAAAATTTTTCAGGAGAGGCGAAAAACTGAAGGAAAGTTTGGTCCGTGCACTGGCACTGGATCCCTGGCTTTACCATCGCCTATTATCTCGTCACGAGCGAGATGTATCATCAGCCTATCAGACGCCACCTGACTCGTGTACATAGTGACAAACCAGAGATTTTTTAGAATCGGTTCATTTTTTAATTTCCTCATTTACTCAAGATTTTAACCAATTTCTTAAGTATGCTAATACTGGTATTAGTGGTATCCATGATACTTTACTGGTCTACTTATAGGACTCAAAAATGAACTTGAGACAAAGTCTAAAAAACTCTCTGCTTTGCCACTATGCTCGTGTAGTCCAGTTTGGCAGTTGGCACCGAATAATGAAGAGAAATATTAGAAAGAAATGAAGGAAATTATGATAGAGAAAGTTGGAGTGGAAGAGATCAAACGGTCTCAGTGTCCGGGCATTGGCTTGGCCAAGCGATTTACTGTGATTTACACATACTAAATCGTCCCTTGAACATGTCATCAACCGCTGAATAAAGAACAAAAGTATAAAAGATATGAACAGCATTGAAGCATTAGAAATTTCCAGCACCATACGAGGCATCTGGATCAGCGGAGGAGCGCTTGGCCTTCTGCTTTGGTCTGAAATTGTTGACGGCTTTCTTGGCTGTTCTTAGAACCTTCAACAGTTGAGGTGTTCCTGCACCCAAAGCTCTAGGGAGGTTGCCTTCCACATGCCCAAAGTTGTGGTTCAAGGCAGTCCCTTGAGCAATCATGCGAACCCGATTCATGCTTGCAAACTTCTCTTTGGAGCATTGCAACCAGATCTTCGAGTGCAAGCTCTCATTGCTGTTCTGCGTCCGTTGCTTCATACACCGCCTCATCAGCTCAGGCGAGGTCAAATCGATGTAAATCTTCAGGATCTCGGCAAGTAACGGCTGAGATAAATTCCCCAGCCACATATCCTTACTTGAGTGAGACGCCGGCGTTACATTCTGAGCTTCAGCTTTTCTCACCCAGCACCAGGAATCAGCTCCAATCAGGCAGCTTTGATGTTTGGGATTGTCATCTGTGCTGCTGGAGTGGTAATAGCTCGCCATGACATGCTTTCGCAAAGTAGCTTCATCAGAAGTGGCAGCATATTTCCTGATGTTGTTGCCAAAATGTTTACTCAAGGAATTTATTCTTTCATCCGTCAGCTTACCTTTGCCAGCATATGAGCTCCGCATCACCTGCTTTCCGGCCTTGGTTGTCACGACCTCCTTGCTTTTGGCTTTCAATGATCTAAGCTGCGAGCCCAGCCTTTTTGAAACATGGTTGATGCATTCCTCCTTATTCACAGGGACATCATACGGGCCTGCTCCGTCGTTCAACTTTGTAACAGCATTATATGCTGCCGAATCACCGTCACTCAGGAACGTCATGTAGCGGAGGCCAAGTTGCGTCGACCTGTTCCAAAGTCTCGTAGCAGCTTCCTGCTCCATAGCACCAGCCTTGCCATTGAAGTTTTTATTACACTTGACATGCATCTCCTTTCAGCATGCAAACTCCTCCGGGGACAGGGCTTTCTCTTTCTTGAAGCATTCCTGGCAGAAGTTTGACAGGACCTCAAAGTCAAGCACAAAGCCGGTTTCAAGTTCAATTACACAACCGATGCCAATGTGCGACTTGTGACCGCGAGTCATCCAGGTCCCGTCAAAGCTGACATCCAGGTCGAGAAATTCGTCGCCTTCCTGGTAAGTCCCATTCTCAGAAGAAGTCCGCTTCAGAGCTGATATCATTTCATTCTGCTTCATTGCAAAGAACTTCTCCATTTCACTGAAGAGAAAGGCACAATGCCCAGAGAAGGCTTCGTTTGAGAAGCCATCGGTTGACAGGGCAGCACAGATCCGCTTGCACCCGGCTAAGCCATCGCTATTCATTAGTGAATAGTATATAAGGGTAAGATTGCGAAGAGTGAATGGAGACACACTACCGTCAATTTTCTTCGCATGTTCAGCCTTATACAAATCTTGCTTCGCATCGCAAGCCTGGCATTTGGTGGAAATCGAAGCTTCCGCGTGAATTACATTCACCGTAACATCACAAACGCTGTCACATTCGGAACAATTCAACTTGGAGCTCAAAATCTTCTCCACGAGCACGAAGTCAATAGGAAGAAGGACCATTTTACCGGCCTTCTCAACCTGACTTACACCGGCATCCTGCATGCTTGGAGCAATGGCAAGTATTTCTTGCCGGCATGCAAGGGGATTGACGATCGCAGGCCGCTCAACAGGTGGCTCTCGTTGACCTCCACGAGGTCGAACATACCCACCTTTACCTATATTATACCTTTTACGTTTAGGCATCTTACCTGATAGGAATTTAAATTGTAAACACAGAAACACTCGCAGCACCTTCACTCAGCACAGTTCAAGACTAACTGACGCTCGCAGATCGATATCGGAGCATGTGCGAGGCTAGAAACACATCGCTGGAGCGCGGTGGCCAATGATCGCGTCGTAGTAAAAGCCAGATTACGTACAAACTAACACACATACAGGCATGCTGTTACACCATTGGATGCGTAAAAATCAGAGCTCCACCCTGATATCTCTCATTGGCCGCTGAAGCAAGGCGTTGAAAATTGCCAGCTCGATTGGTCGGCAATGAGGCAACAGCTGAGTAGCGCAATTGGCCCATGTGAGCCACGTGGGCTAGATCAATCAATCGTACTAAAATCAATAAAAAAAAACTAATGCACGCACAGACATGCCGATTACATCGTTAGACGCGTCTAAAAGTCAGCTTTAGAAAGCATTAATAAAAGAAAAAAGTGAAATTTTTCGATTTTTAGCTAGGGCGGTCCCCT